AAATCACATTTTTAAAGATGTGAGATGTGAGAAGTGTACTCGGAAGCTTCATTTAAAAAATCTTTTAAAAATACAAAATATTATCATTTTTACAAAATTCTTTTTGTAAAAGCATTCGCAAGGATGAAAGTTTAACGTGTCCAAAAATCAAAGAAAAATAAACTGTAAATTTTTAAAAATAAACTTTTTTAGAAAAAATCCCATTGAAAAAGTGTTAAGCTCCCTTTGTTAAATAAATTCGTATTTAATCGATTTATTGAAACACGAAATTTATTTTAAGTTCGTAAAATAGCTAAGTGCCTACGTTTCATGACGATGTGAAAATGGAGTGTGTAGAGTAAAATCTCGTTTCCTATAGCCCATTGTGTTTCAAAATGACGCGATTTCGTCACAAAACATAAAATATAAAAAAAAATTCGAATTCGAATTTCGAAAAAATCACTTTGAAGTGCACTGGCTCTTGTGTAGATGTACCTATGTACCAAATTTCGTAGCCGTGGGTCTATTAGCTTACGCGCAGCGCGAACGAAAGACACACACACAGACAGACTCTTTCTTTTATTATATGTAGAGAAGATATGTAGAGATAAGATTGTTTAAAGGAAGGAAACTTTTCGCAGCTGTACCCTGGGGCATTAAGACGGTCATCACGGAGAGTCTAGCCTTTTGCAATTCTCTTGAGAGCTTTAATCTACCGAACAATATCTAGTAATCAATCTCACTTAGCGGAATCATTGAAGTAAAATTCTGGGAGGGATGGGAAATAACAAAAGAACTGCTTGACAATTTTCAGAGATTTAGGGTTATTTTCGCGACATTTTACGGGAAGTTCGGCCCAAAACTAGAGACAGTTTTAAAGGGATTCGCAGAAAATCACTCGACAGGCTAAGGGTTAAGTTGACTTTAAGATCATAATGAAAGCAATTATGTTATGAAATGAAATAATCCAAAGTTAACTAATTTAAATTCATTTACATGAAAACTCATGCAAGTGAAAGGAAGGAACTCACTTTTGCCTTTGATTTAAATCATTGCAGTACTAAAATGAAAATAAATATGAAAAGATATTCTGAAGTTTAATATGTTAATCTAGGTAGAGGCTCTATTGAATTTTATATTTTGTGCAAATTATGTCTTCTTTTTAGTTGTTTTTGTTTTTAGTAATGAAATTTAATGATTAATAATTGATAGCATATGCAGTGTAATGTATTAGGTTATCCGGAAAATAATGCAGGTTAAGACACAATAACACGCCGAATAAATACTAATTCAGAAGTCAAACAACAAAAATCAGAGTTATATTTACAAAATTTTCACAGGACTAGTTTCGATGGTTTTACCGAACCATCGAAACTAGTCCTGTGAAAATTTTGTAAATATAACGCTGATTTTTGTTGTTTGACTTCTGAATTAGTATAATGCAGGTTTTTAACATATATCTTTAAAGTATCATAGCTCAACTCAAAAACAATGTTATTAACACGTTGAATGCCACGTGCATTTTACGTGCTTCACACATGGCGCCAACATGAATTTTTTATTATTCGATGCATACTATGTTGAAATATTATCTACAGAAGATAAGGTGAGTTATGTAATCGTGTTTAATGCATTTTTCCTGGTGGGCGTCACCACTCACCTCTGAGGGGCTGCAGACCATTTTTGCGATTTATTATTTAAATTTGCGAGATCTATTACTCTTCAAAACATTATAGTAACAATGGTTATTATTTAAAAATTTATCTGTATCGATATTTACTTTTAATTATATATTTTTACTGTTGGTCGCATCGCCGGTCACCGGTGGCCCTCACAGTGCTGTAGCCAAATCGAGTGCCAGCCACCAGTGACCCCACAGCAGTCAACGTATTAATCAAAATAAGCACCAGGAGAATCGATGCATTTTTGCGAACAAGGTATAAGTTTATTTACGCCGATAGAATAAAATTCTGAAGTTCTGGACGCAATAAAGTTGTTAAAGGCGTTTTTGGCCTCGTCTTGGTTTCTGAAGCATTTCTTCTGCAGAATGTTATCCAGATGTTTGAAAAAGTGGTAATCGGTCGGCGAGAGGTCAAGCAAATATGGGGGAAGAGGGAGAGTCTCGTATCTCAATTTGTTCAATTTCTGTAGGGTCAGGTGCACGATGTGTGGCTGAGCATTGTCGTAGAGAAGAACTGGCCCTTTCTTTTGACCAATGCCGGGCACATGCGTTGCACATTTTGGTGCATTTTGTTGATTTGCTGACAGTACTTATCTGCTGTAATCATTTCTCCAAAATTTAGGAAGCTGTGGTGGATGAGACCAGCTGCAGACTACCAAACAGTCACCACAATTTTCTTTTGGTGCAAATTTGGCTTAAAAAATGTTGCGGTGTCTGACCGTGGTCCAACCACTGAACCGAATGTTGCCAGTTGTTATAGAGAATCCACTTTTCCTCGCACGTAACAATTTGATCAAGAAAAGGGTTGCTTTTGTTGTGGAGAATAAGAGTAGACGACACTCCAAAACAGTGATTTTTTTTATTTTCGCTCAATTCGTGAGGCCCCACTTATTGAGCTTCTTTGACTTTCTTATACGATTCAAGTGATCAGAAATCGTTGTTTTGCTTACGCCAAGCTCCTCCGCAAGCTTTCGAACGGTTGTGCACGGGTTTGTTTGAACTAAAGTCTTCAAACTGTTGTTGTCAACAGCTGAAGAGCATCCACGACACTCTTGATCTTCCATGTCAGTTCTCCATGGTGAAACTTTTGGTACCACCGTTGAATTCATTAACACATTTTTTGTCTCATACTTTGTTGCCATTTTGAGCCGTTTGTGTTGCGCTCTGGCCTTGCTTGTACTCATAAAAGTAAATTTGCGGAAAATCTCGTTTTGGCATCTAAACAAAAACACCTAGATATTATTTTTTAAAAATAATTTTGGAACTAGAAATATAGAGCGAAAACAGGGCTTCAAAATGATATATAAACCAATGTAATTCAAAATATTTTTGTTGCTAAAATTGTGCAGGAAAGATAAACAATTGCAGGAACCTGCATTATCTTCCAGACAACCTGATATTAGTGATACAAAGAATTACTTATTTAATGTAAAATTCAATGCTAATTTTATGTTTCTTCATGAAAAATATTATTAAGGGTAAAATGCACTATGTGCTTACAAAAATCTGACTACTGCAATATGTTTTGCTCTTATTTTACTTGTGAATAGTTTGAGTAAACATTTTTAACCTACATCACTAGAACTATGTCATTAAAATTTACAAGCCTACATGGTAGTGCATTATGTAATTTTTGTTTTTCTAAGTATGCGAATATATATCTTTTGGAGAAATTGTATGCTAATAACTATTTTAAATGTCTTTATACTCTAATAAATAATGTCTTTTATTAGAATTAAATTCATTTTAATATGCAAAGATTTCAATAAGCAATTTATAATAATATCATTATATCAAAAACTTTATGACAGTGTAATCACAATGTTTGTTTCTCAAGCTTTTGTGTTCAAAAGTTACGTAAATTCATTCACTTTGTTCAACAAACTTCAGAAAAATTGTTTTAAAATTGTCTATTCTTTGTTTCAGAAATTTCAAGAAAACTGCATTAGATAAAATATATGTAAAAAATTACTTGTTAGCCAAAATTAGAATAAATAAATTAGCAGAAATATAAAAATTAAATTTTATTTTTTGTCACACACTAATGTGGATAAAACTCTTTTTGCATTGCTTAATGCTTCATATACAAAACACATATGGAAAAAATCTGCATATGAGTTAAAATTTGAACATGAATGGTTTATTTTAAAAGAAACCACAACAGTACTATGTTCTTTTTTCATACCTTGCTGCATGATCAATGCAGAGAATATGTGAGTTTTATTTCATATTGTCAGCTTCCAGTATTTTCTGTTTAAAAGCAGATGTAAACTATTTCCTTGATACAATTATTCAGCAGAATTCTTCACAGATTTGTAGGATTCTTCTGATGACATTGACTGGAATGGATGAGTGTGAATGGATGGGTTTCCAAGAGAATGAAAACTATATTAGAATAAGTAAAGGATTTTTTTATATCAGTTCTCTAAAAAATCTGAGCTTCTTCAAAATTATCATCTAATCTTTATTTATCATTAAAAAATTCTGAAGAATTTCTAGTTTTCTCTAGAAAAAAACTTCAAAGGAGGCCTTCAGAAATTCCACTTGAAAATTAAGTCTGAAAACACATTAAATAAAACTTAAAAGTTATAGAATTTGTTTTTAATAATAAATTAATAAAATTGTAATAATGCTTAGTATAAAACTTAAAAATTATAGAATTTGTTTTTAATAATAAATTAATAAAATTGTAGTAATGCTTAGTATAAAACTTATGTAAATAAAATACTTAGAAAATGTAAAACATAATATCCAAAAGAAATTACATATTTCATAGAAAGTCAAATAACCAAAGGAAGAAGGTGGAGGAAGTTCATTTTGTGACTTAGTAATGTAATTTAGGGATTAGCAAGCTAGAGTAAATGGAATGTTATAATAAAACATGAAGATTTTGAAAATATGATCCCCATATCATTTTTGCGTAAATCATTGTGCACAAAAAAGCAATGTACAGGTAAAACTGAGAAGCAATTAAACGAATGGCAGGATGTGAATCCCTTCAAGTAACTAACAAGGAAGTTTAGGAAAAAAAAATTGGATGGGTGAGAATCAGTTTAAAATTTATAGTTTCCCAAACAGGATAACTTTGAAGAAATTCCCATTCATAACCAGATATTTCTGATTTTTTAATACGCTTTTGTAAAATGTGTGAGAATCCAATAAATTCAAAACTCTAAAAAAAGAACATGTGTTTTCCATCTTATATATGTGCTACATAAGTATACTTATTTTATGTGATTAGAAGTGTCTAATTCACTAGATAGATAATTGTCATTTTTTTAAAATTTGATGCTGTCTCTCTCTCTCTATATATATATATTATTATTTTTTTTTTATTTAGGACAGTTTTGACACTTTGAGTAAGTGATTCTTTTTATATATTCCTTTTTATTCATTCATCTATTCAATTTCTTAAATCTGTCTGTCTACAATAGATAAACTACAAATCAATACTCATTGTATTAAATTGAAATGCATTTTTTTTAACCATGTAGCTCTTAAACACGAGGAATTAATTGAACAAATTCAAGACATTGAGAAAGTAGTATGTTAATTGTTTTTGATAGAAAGATTAATTTTAGTGCATTGTTTATCCATTCCTGGCTGTCTTTTTTGATTTGCTTTTAAGTAAAAAATAACTTTTTATTACAGGATACTCAAGGTCCAGAAACTGATACTTTACTTCGAAGGTTAGAGGAACTTGAGGTAATTTTTTTTCATTTATTAATAATATGATGTTTGTTAAATAAGTTGGAAGGATATGAGATGATTTTATAATGATTCTGTTTTTAAAAGATTAGAAAATCAGCAAACTCTTGAAGCAGCAACAGTGGCAAGGATCAAGGTTTTGGGATTCTATCATGTACTTTTGTTTGTTTGCTTGTTGTAATAATTTGACCACCTTTAGTGTTTTTAGAGATATTATTGGATTAGAATAAATTGTATTCAAAACCTCCCCTGTGAAGATTAGAATTGAGAGATTACTACTGAAGTATGTTTGTGAATGATCAAATGATAAATTATACCTCTTTCAAAATTTTCAAGGATTTAAACACATTTGGTAAAAATAATGATGTTGGAAATAAGAGCTTTAGAAGTTTATAAAAATATAAGCGTATGGTTTGCTAATAGAACAATTCCACATTTTGGGTGTGTGGGTGTCTTTAATTAATTACTCCAGATAAACAGGAAGAAATTGACTGTTTATAATAAATAACACACACAAAAATAAATACAATGGTTATTAATAATTAAGGAAAAATCACAAAAATGATGATTACTCAAAAAGTTACATGTATAAAATGCATAGTAAGGTATAAAATTACATGGAAATAAATTACCTTACAGTTATGGTGTTATAGAAATTAGCCTATATGTAAAACGAACAAATCAGATGTGTCAGTTTCATACAGGAAAATTACCTTCAGTATGGAATTTGATCTCCCCTAGAAGCAATACAGTGCATACGGCAATGTGTGATGCTGTCAATTATGCAGTCTATCTGTTCCTTAGAAAATGAGAGCCGTTGCTCTTGCAAAGCAGCTGCAAGCATGGCAAGGGTCTGAAGAGGAAGATTGAGAGCAGCTAAACGTCTTCCTAAAGCATCTCAGACATACTCGATAAGATTCAGGTTCAGTGATCAAGCTGGCCCTACCATGCGCTGAACATTTGCTGCTGAAAATAATCATCCATGATGAAAGCCTTGTGCGGTCTAACATTGCCATCCCTCTAGCACGAAATCTTCATCTATTGCCCTGCATAAGGGTGCACATAAGTATCAAGGATTTCATTTCTATAGGTCTGAGCATTCATGGTTCCATGTGAAAAGACATGGATATCCCAAATAGATACCATCCCAAGCACAGACACTGCCTCCGCCATAGTCATCTCTCTCACAAATGTTTGATGGATGACAATGGATTCCATGTCCTCTCCAAATCAAAAGACGCCTACTATCACTTTGGAGGCTAAACCTGGACTCATCCTTAAAGAGAACAACTCTCCAGTGATCAGCTCTCTAGTGGATATGTTGATGTGCCCACTTCAAATGTTTCCTTCTTTTATGTGACATGAACAGCATGCAAAAGACTGGTTACCTTGCATATAGACCTCCTTCGTAAAGCCTTCTACACACAGTTGACATTGACACTAACCTCCATGGTGGCTGCAGCAAGGTAGGATCTGAGTAGAGTCAGAGATGCAATTCTATATCTTTGTGGGAATAACAACAAATATTGGTCATCAGCACTCAGGGTAACAGTTGGCTATCCTTGGCTGAGCCTCTTGGATGGCAAATCTGTGGTTAGAAATAGCATGTTAGTTTTAAGATAAACTTTTTAAAAATATAATCAAGAGAAGACTTATTCTGAAACGGGTGACATTTGAAATTTCCACATTACAAATTGGACAGGTAGCAGTTTTGGCAACAAAGCATGCTGGCCACTTTAACAAGAAAATACTCTGAAATGAGCAGAGATCATCTTCAGTATGCTTAAAAAAGTTTATCAAGTTTAAATAAAACTGGGAAAGGTCAGTCTCAGTATCATTTTTCAGATCAGCATTTACAGATTAAAGGCAACATTATAATTATATTTAAATTATGTAATTTTCCATATATTTACAATTATTAAAATTTGAAAATGTATACCTTTATAAGCTTTGGCATATGGATATTTAAGCTAGATATTTATAGTCCTACCAGTGTCTATGAATTTGTTATATTCTTAAACTTATACCTATATAAATTTAATTTTATCTCAGTTTTAAGTCTATGAACCACAGATGGATTCACATTTAGCCATCTGGCTACTTCTGTTTGATTTTGTCCTGCCACTAATCTCCCAATAGCTCTCCACTGCAGTTCTTTGGGCAAATGATACATGAACGTCATTGTTACAAATTGGCTATCTCAGATTTCTTACCTCAGTATCACAGCTAATTACACAGTATTACAGGCTTTCTCTCAAACATGCAATTTTATGCTGCTTGCAGATGATGCATTCTGACTACAGCGCCACTAATTTGCATGCTGCAGTTTTGATCAACAACTCTTATTTGACAACATATTTAAATTTTATATGGATAGGCTTATTTTTGAAAGAGTTATTGCTATTTTTGCAATTTTTCGTTAATTTTTGGAAACTATTGCAGTTGTGAGTAATGCAAGGAGGGCACAGAAATTGAGCAAACCCTCGTTAACGCACAAGAAATATCATATCTTGCTGATATTACTTATAAAGTATACTTGAAAATGAAAATCATCTAATTCTTTTTTATCCATAGTCTCTCTTAAATCATTTAGATATGATTCAGATCTGACTGACTACTTATTGGTCCTGACTATCAAAGCTGTATTTATATGGTATTACGAGGCCTTCTGGAAGCTTCAGTGTTCCAGTCGACAGGCTCCTCAAGAAAGTGACTCATAGCCGTACAAACAAAAAGTTGGAATATCTAACCACTGGTTTGTATCTAAGTAATGGCATACAGAGTGATATACACAGCCCGAGTCAAATTTAAGAGTGTCATGACAAGTCTTCTTTGCTTGAACAGACCTCCATATGAATGCTGGTTCTAGTCATTGTGACCAATCACCTATTACATTGAGAAACTAGCTGTGGGGGTAGGGCTTCTGTAAACATCAGGGAAAATTGCACATACAGATTCAAAAATATGTTTTTCTGAAACTTCCAAAAAGTTGCTAGATTGGAAATAAATTGCCATTGTCAACATGACAGTAAAAAATGTAGCCGAGGCCTCTCAGGAGAGTTTCTGCATTTATCTATAATTTTACTTGAGCTTTTTTCATAGTGTAAGAAGTGTTGGGTTCAGAATCGTAAATTCTAGGTACTCTGCAAGAAATAAGCACCTATATATAAAATACATGACTACATATGGACCTAAATACACAAAAATATTCTAAAATTATTATCCTTAATTTAAAACTTGTATAAATAAATAAATAAATAAAACTATACCCAATGTTATTAACCCTCTGAGCAACCAGGGTTTTTGCTAAGAAAGTATAAATTTCCCAAATCTACTATGAGAACAAATTATTTTTTTGATTTTAATGTAAAAAAATCTCCTGATATTTCATACCTGAATTTGTGTAATTTTGATATATTGCCCTAATTTCTTTGACATATTTTAATATGCACATATATATACATTATAACACAAAAAATATTTTAGGCGATATATATACGACCTTGCCGCTTAGAGGGTTAATAAATAAAACTATGCTCATTGTAAATAAACAAAACTATGCCAGTGCACAAAATCAACATTGTAATGAAATGGATTCATATAGTTTCAGAAATTTACAATATTAATGACAAGCTCTTTGAGCTTAATGTGGATTCCCTAATAAAAATTTTAAAAATTTATTTTACTGCCTATATTTCTATGTTTGGAAATAACTGAATTCTACATAACTTCATAGATAAACTTTTTAAAAATATAATCAAGGGAAGACTTATTCTGAAATGGGTGACATTTGAAATTTCCACATTACAAATTGGACAGGTAGCAGTTTTGGCAACAAAGCATGCTGGCCACTTTAACAAGAAAGTACTCTGAAATGAGCAGAGATCATCTTCAGTATGCTTAAAAAAGTTTATCAAATTTAAATAAAACTGGGAAAGGTCAGCCTCAGTATCATTTTTCAGATCAGCATTTACAGATTAAAGGCAACATTATAATTATATTTAAATTATGTAATTTTCCATATATTTACAATTATTAAAATTTGAAAATGTATCCTTTACTTTTAAATAAGCTTGGCATATGGATATTAAGCTAGATATTTATAGTCCTACCAGTGTCTATGAATTTATTATATTCTTAAACTTATACCTATATAAATTTAATTTTATCTCAGTTTTAAGCATGTTATTGCTGTTGAATTAAAAATAGAAAAACAGATTTATGCGTTTGCATTTTGCGTTCATGAAATCATGCAGAAAACTTAGAGAATTTGAATCAGTTACAAAATTTCAATGAAGATCCAAAGTTATAAAGTTAATATGAAAACTTTGATTTGGATTTTTTTTTTTTTTTTTTTTTTTTTTTTTTTTTTTTTTAGCTTTGCTGTTTTAAATCTTACTGTTTAATTTCCCTCTTGCATTCTTTAATGGAAATTTAAGCATGTTTCATAATTTTTTATTTTTTTAATGGGGATTTTTGATTCTGTTTTTAAATCTAACATCTTACTTATTTACTCTTTATTAGTATTTCAGGTTCAAGGCTTATACACTTTTTAATCACATGTGAAAAATACTGCTTTTTGTAATCTGAAATTTCAAATTTTTACCACCTGTTCCTTGAAGAACCAAATTACTTTTTTCAAGTACTGTTTAGTTAAATCAAATATTATATCTTGAAGTTTTGCTATATTATATTTTGTTATTGTAACTATTACAGAAATTTCGGTATGTAAACTTTGTGCAAAGGTATTTAGATCAGCCAGTAGCTGAGAGTACCTAAAAATACTTTCTATTCCCTGTGATAGAATGGGCTAATTGTTTCATTTTCCCCAAGCATGTTTCAAATATTGGCAATTCTCCTTAGAAATCTTCCATAAAGGCAACCCTTCTCATAGGCAAAAAAATTTAGGGCCATTTTGACTGAAATGTATATCTGTATTAGCAATGTTGCTGGGAAATTCATAAATTGATTTGAATGGATATCTGTAGACGTACAAG